AAAGTCCATTAATTGGGGAAAAGACAGTCTCTTTAACAAATGGTGCTGGTATAACTGGATATCCATCTGCAAAAAACTGAAACAAGACCCATACCTCACACCATGCACAAAAACTAACTCAAAATGGCTCAAAGACTTAAATATAAAATCAAAAACGATAAAGATCATAGAAGAAAAAATAAGGACAACGCTAGGATCCCTAATACGTGGCATAAACAGAATACGAACCATAAGTAACAATGCACAAGGACCAGAAGAGAGACTAGATAACTGGGAGCTCCCTAAAAATCAAGACAACCTACAGACTGGGAAAAAATTTTTGGCTATGACAAATCTGATCAGCATCTAATCTCTAAAATCTACAAGATACTGAAAAACCTCAACAACAAAAAGACAAATAAAAAATGGGCAAAGGATATAAACAGGCACTTCGCCAAAGAAGATTTTCAGGTGGCTAACAGACACATGAAGAAATGCTCACGAACATTAGCCATTAGAGAAATGCAGATCAAAACTACAATGAGATACCATCTCACCCCAACAAGGCTAGCATTAATCCAAAAAATACAAAATAAATTCTGGAGAGGTTGTGGAGAGACTGGAACACTTATACACTGTTCGTGGGAATGTAAATGGTACAACCACTTTGGAAATCAATTTGGCAGTTCCTTAAAAAGCTAGAAATAGAAGTACCATACTATCCAGCTATCCCACTCCTTGGAATATATCCTAGAGAAACAAGAGCTGTCACATGAATAGATATATGCACATCTATGTTCATTGCAGCACTCTTCACAATAGCAAAAAGATAGAAACAAGCTAGGTGCCCATCAACCGATGAATGGATAAACAAATTATGGTATATCAACACAATGGAATACTACACAATGATAAAGAACAATGATGAAGCCGTGAAACATCTTACAGCATGGAAGAATCTGGAGGGCACTATGCTGAGTGAATTTAGTCACTCACAGAAGGACAAATATTGTATAAGACCCTTATTATAAGAATTCAAGAAAAGGTTTAAACACAGGAGACAACATTCTTTGCTGGTTATGAGGGTGGGGAGGGAGGGTGAGGGTTATTCACTAACTAGATAATAGATAAGTATTAT